CTTTACCCGTACTTTGAAGGATACATTTCTGTTGCTGTGGTACCATTTCTGGGACCTGAAACAAATACAGACAGATGAAGCAGAAGCAAATCTGAACAAATAAGTATTAAGCCGCTCTTTAAAAGAGTCAACATTCTCTCAGATCTTAAAGGCCCTGATACACCAAGCAGTCGGCAAAGAACTAGTGGCGACGAAGGCCGACTGTTTTTTGGCCAAAAAAGTCGCACTTGAACACACCGCAAAGACTAAGCCAATGGCCAACCAACACGTACGTTGTTATGATAGAGAGAAGATGATTTTTACACCGCTGTCGCTCACCACTCATAATATACTGTAGGTGCTTCTTATCAAGAATAATGTCTGATAAACAGTTCACTCTTGACTTTAGTTGTTTATTTGCTATGGTCACTTCCGTTATCTTCCCGATGCTCTGATTCGCTTAGCTGAACAGCCAATCAGAGTGAGTCCTCTCACCAACCCAGCGATGCCGACTGACGCCGATTCAAAATGTCGAATTAGCTGAAAAAAGACAGACGGCCGCAAAAACCAGAGCGACGATCGCTAACAGACGGTCTAACTAGGACCAATGGCCAACGATCTCCTCGGTGTGTCAGGACTTAGGAGGCTTAATATGTGATCACACTTAAATGTAATAGAAATAAAGTATAGTTTGTTCACATCGCCAGGACGGCCGGCTGACTCCTCCCCTCACGTATAAAAGTTGTTTAATTGAGGGACTAGAGAAAAGAAGAATAACATACTGTACTCACTGCTTAACTGTGTTTCTAGATCACGCTCATTTCAGGTAAATTTACATGCAGTGTGAAGATACCAGCATAATAAAGATCGCTAGCATTAGCATGCTAACACAACAATGCAGCGTGAGTTGTTTTGGTTTCATGCTGGTGCTCAAGGGCGACATCTGCTGGATCAAAAAATTGCATATGAAGCCTTTAAAGGAGAGAGTTCCAAAGTGATGGAGCTATGACACTAAGAGCCCCTGAACAGAGGACCTCTGAGTTCTGCTGGGATTGTAAGGCCGTTTAAATTCTGTAAGGTAGTTTGGTTCATGCAGGGCTTTCAAAGTGAAAACAAGAATTGGATTCTAAAGTTTATGAGAAGTCAGTGTACAGAAAACAGAAATGTGTTAGATGTGACCTTTTAGAGGACTGTAACTTCCCACTCACCAAAGCTTTGCACCATGTGTGATGGTATATACTGCTTGGTTAGTGACCATCAATGGACACATCTTTTTTTACAATGCATTGTGGGATAAAATGAGTCCACTGTTCAAAATGGCAAATTCACAAAATAGTGCACGGATGATTTCAGACACAGTTTATGTCTTAACAAGATGATTCACAATTTTTTATCTCACTTGCTTGTCATGGTTTCTGTCATCTGCATTAAAACAGAACGTAATCAACAACAATTTTTAATATACTGCAAAAAAACAATATGTCACCAAATGGTCAACAATCACTACATTTAATTTAGAAAATGAGAGAAAAACATTTGTCAGTTGTCATCATAGCTCCTAAACTTTAAACCACAGAGCAGATTGTAACTATCCAAACTGGCAGACTTGTGAATAAGTTGTGCAACAGCACTGCACTGCAGTCACCGTCCAAGGCCGCATTATAAAAGACTATTCCTCCAACATAAAGCAGTTCTAAAAATACACGCTCATGATGACGTTCGATGTTTCCATTCACAACTTCTAAACTCTTTGGACTTTTTGAATGGGTAAAATTATCCTAAAGGTTTCTGTGTTCAGCTGTGAAGACACTCCATAGAGTTAGGATCAACAAGTGATGGGGATAAATGAAGTAAGGACGCCATGTTGCCATATGAAATTCCTCCAATTCAAGAGAGAGGGCGGGAGGGGATGTTAAGGGTCCTCTGATTATAAACTAGGTGGTGGAGAAAGAAAAGGAACCAGTCAGGTTTAAAGTTTCTGCTAATGTTTTGTGTGTCTGGTACAATAAAGAGATAACGTCAGTCAGGAAGCAATGAAGAGGTGTACAGCTAGTGTATTTGTATTTTTATGTTGCTTTCTGGCTATCCACCTCTGACGAAGTAATCAGACAGAAGACAAAACCACCCAACATTACAAAACCATGTTATATTTAATAAACTAGAATTTAGTTAGTGTTATAATTCACTTAAATCTCGTCTGAAAGGATGTAAAAGCAGCAGTATATCACTACATGCCAAACTGAAGGACACATATTTGTTGTTTGAAGGCGATCAGCACAAAAGACAGACAGTAGTACAACAATAGGCTATATTGCTGAATTTAGGATGGTGATAGGAACAAACGTAAGTTGTGGTACAAAACAATTTGTTTGATTAAAAAAGAATAAAAGTTTCATATGAACATGTGTACCCAGCATGTCCAATATAAAATAATAAATGGAATAGATCTGCCTTTATTGTGCTGCATAACCAGAACCATTTTCTTACAATCTGTAATCTGTAACAATTTGTCTTCTATGAGCTTCTTATGCCAGGTCATATCAAAATGAAGACAAGGGAGAGCAACAGAAGAATAAGAAAATGTCATAGGGCAGCAGTAATGGTGCAAGCAGCAAAAAAGTAAACATTTCTTTGCAAATCAATGTCACACAGATATACAAAACCATCTAAATATGAAGTTGGAGTTTGGCATGAGGTCCCCCACAAGTTTATTCAAGAGTTTTGTAACAATCAAGAAAATCATACATTACACCAAGAAACATGAAATTTAGGTTAGCATGATATGCTGACATGCAGAGGCACTCCTGGACTAGTTTGAACTTCTGTTGCTTGCTGAAGTGCACCTTGGCAGAGTGAACGTAAATGTCACTCACTGTAAACCAAACCTACCTTCTGGTACAAATAAAGTTACCTTACCGTACCATGCCATACCGTACTGTACCGTACTGTACCGTATCATAACTTCTTACCTTTCCTTACCCATGATGTGAACATGCACCTTCCCATCTACTAGTCCATACTCCCTCTCTAGGCTGTTCTGATTGGGGAAACTTAAAAGCAATGTCCTATTTTCACAAGATTTGTATTTACCAACAACTAACTGGTTGAGACTGGGGCTCAAACCCTAAACCTTCCAGTTAAGAGACAACCGACTCTACCAATTAAGCCACAGCATGTATAGCCGGTCCATGTACAGGGATCCATTTGGTAACATGCGCTTAATTGCTAAAAGTTGCATTAAAACAGAAATATTCCCTGGTTAATTCTCTTCACCAATTCCCAGTCCCACTCTACATGTTTTTGTATTTTTATTGAATTGGACGAAGAAAACAATCACTCCATTTCATTAGTTTCTCCACAAATACAGCATGTTACTGGTGGTATTACCTGATTTAACTAAACAGACAGACAGACAGACAGGGGTAACCAAGAGTTGAAAGTGAGTATTCACCCTGTGTGTAAGAAAGGAAAACCTTTCACTTAATCTCCTACTGTATTTACTACTGGTTGTAGCTGTTAATCCCCAGACTGCCACAAAAAGCCCTGGCATGCATCTCCTCCTCTTTGAATGATGCGTGTGAGTGTTTGTGTCTTTTTCCCTGTGTGGCTTCTGTTACGTTTTTGTGCATGCTGTGTTGCAACCTAATCTGGAACGCTAACCTGATGTCAAGGGGGTATGCTGGAGGTCGTGGCCTCTGCGCTTAATCCACTCGGAGGAAAGGTCGGGGGGTCACACTGACCTCCAGACGCATTCCCGTGTAGTATTGTAGGTAAACACATTCTGGGAAGGTACAGGAACTCAGACGCAGCCTACTCATAACTTTGACTTGTACTAATGAATCTTTAAATCCACAAAATAATCTTACCTTGAAATAAAAAGTGCCATTATATACTCTCTTGTGAGACTGCATGGTTGCTCCTGGATGGTCGGACTATTGCGCTAAAGTTTCTCCCAGTGTAATCCCGGCTTTTTCTAAAGGTGATTGAAAGTCTTAAATCAGGTCTCAACCTCGCCGTGTTAGCAAACAACCTATAGGATTAAAACATTTAAAGGGGTTAAAGTTTTACCTCCAAAGCCCCTGAGCAGGGCTGAGCGCTGACCCCGAACCACATGCTGTTTCATGTTGTGAGTGCGTTTTTTAGTGAAAATCACAACCTTGTGCAAGTGTTTTCAATCAAATTCCAATCCCTTAAATTACCTTTACTAATCTAATTAATGTGATTTTAACCTGCCTAAATTTAACTTGGGAATATCTATAAACTTTTTTTTTTTTTTAAAGGAAAAAAAACAGCCCCTAAACTGGTAAGTAGCTTCACTGCTAAGCAGAGAAACAATTTTAGTTTTCTGTTAAAGGTGCCTCTGTTCAAAAAACAGACATCTCAGCCGTACACCACAGTATCTTGACCGTGGTCATTGCGCTCAGTCGTACCTGCCATTTGGCCATTTGGCCTTTTGGTGTTGTATGACAATTCAATGTGACTCCCACCTGAGTGACCTTACACTCACCAGTCAAAGGTCGAAGGCCTTGTTAGGCATGTTTATGAAGATAGCCAGGGGTCGAGGCCTCTGTTTGTCCGTCCACGACGAGAGAGGAAACAAGGGATAGGATTCCGGTAATAGATGAAAGACGAGAGTGGAGATGAAAGGAGGGGTTATCTGGTTCTCCGCGGAGCGTATCGATCTGTTTGTGTTTTCAGGGGGGGTGAACGGGTTTGTTGGCCAGAGTCCCGGCAGAAGTGCTGAGGTATCGGCTGCAGCGCCCTGTGGAAGTGTCAGTGCAGAGGTTGCACTTAAATTAGAGTTCAGGATAGACTTGAGGTCAGCTATTGCTTCCTCCTTTTGTGGAAAAAAACAGACGATGTAGTTTAACACAAAAAACACTAAAAGATTCAGATTCCACTGAATGGAGAGTTTTGAGATCATGAAGCCTGAAGAACTCACATACAAGATGCTGCAGTGCTGCCACCTTGTGGCAAAACATTTAAAATACAGAAGAAGAAAATAAAACATCTATCCTAAATTAATAGGAATATTCTATAAATCACTTTATTTCAGGAGTAACACAGAACTGGATCTGTAAAACATACAATCTAGATGAATTATGTTTGTTTAAAACATTTAGGCAAGATTACTTCCACTTTGGTCAAGTTTGTTTTGGTAGCAACACTTCTAATACTGTAAATATGGAGCATTTGATCATAACAAAGCACAGAGAGAACTTAGGTTAAGAGGGATATCACAAAGCTTTGTATCTTTCCTTAGCTCTTTGAGGGACACAGACACTTTGTTGAAGTCCTTCTCCTACAGAAGTTAACTTGAAACACTGTATTGTAAGACCTTTTAAAGCATCTCACCTTCCATAAACGCTAGCATAAATAAAGTTCTCCCGATCCGTCTGTTAAAGCTTAAAGTTTAAAAAACGATGCAATGACCCCTCACTCTTAATGAAATATGAAATTTGCATAAAAAAGTAATTCACACATGGGAACCGTCAAGTATATGAGCAAAATAGCACATAACATGTAAGTTTATATACATGTGCTTTTCTTTGAGTTCAGGCACATAATGTTATGCAACTAAATCCTTTAACACAGCTGTTATAAACAATGTGCTGACAGAGTAAAGGCATATGGGAGGTGATTTTTATGTCCTTTTTTTTGCAACAACATTTCTGCAGACATCAACAAACAAACATTGTTACAGTCCCCTCATATATGTACATTTACACACACTCGCACACAGACACACACATACTCATTAACCTGCTAATGCTATATCAGTGCTGTATTGCATGTTACTAAGGCGGTCACTGTCAGACGTGGGAAATCTCAGATACACTTAAATCCAACATATTCTCATAAATAAAAAAAGACTAAATACCACACAATAATAACCTGAGGAGAGTATGTAGATCTATGTTAGAGAGGAATGCATTATATTTACAACAGTGTGGTTATTTATTTATATATATATATGTATATATATATATGTTTGTGTGTGTTTTTTCTGCAACAAACTGGTGATTTAGCAAATGACATGCATCTTGGTGAGTGGTAAATCCCATCCTTAACATTAGTATGTATGAAGAAAGTTCAAAAGTATATCAGTTTACATTAACATGTGGCTATATCTTTGAATGCAGTGGATCTGGGGGATATAAGAAAAAGAAAAAAACAAACGGAATAAGGCAGATAAGTAACACTGAATAGCACCTGACCTACACAAACAACCCTTATAAAAATGAACACCAGTTTACCAGTTTAAGGGCTGTGTTTTCAGTGCAGTGGTAAACTGGGTGCCATTCCTTAGAGACATTCTGTGATCATGTTTTTAAAAGTGTTCTGCATGGAGCAAATGGCTGCTTGGTCTCTGTGCCTCGCGTTATTGTGTTCAAACTCTCGGCTGTTCTTTAAACCAGGTCTTTGTCCCTTTCCTCTCACACGTACAGGGAAATAGCACCATCTTTTGGAACCAGGAAGTAAAGACAGGTCAAGGCGGTCAGCGCATGTTGTGTTGCTCATGGGTTTCGGAAGAAGCACTCGGGGTGTCTGGGTTTATGTCCTCTTCATACACACTTGACAGCGGCTTATGTGTGTTCGAAGATCTCCCGCTTTTAGTGTTGTTGGGATAGGTTTCCTGGAAGAGGGAGGGAGAAGAAGGTCAAACATCCATGGATTATTAGCAAGCTGATATCAATATGAAGAGGTTTGTTAAATCTAAAAGACATTTGGTAAAAAAAATAATGCAGTTATGCATTTTCATCTTAAACATTTCAAGGTTGTTTCACACCTAGCATCTGAAAGAGGTGTGACAAGGTGAAGATAAAACCACTTTTTATAACGGTATCCGATAAAAAAATATATAGTACAAAGAAACTTTGTGTTGCTGCCTTTTCTTTTTACACTAGACAACCATAACTCTAATATATGAAAAAACTCTGATGTATGAAAAAAGTGTTGGGGTCAAGTGTGAGATCTACCATAACCAACAAGTAGTAACATTTTTTATAGCAATGAAATTAAAGGTTTCTCTCCAATTTTGCAGACAGTTTTGGTTGCTTTAGATAAGCTTCTTCTTCTTTGAGTTCTAATGCTGGTGTCAAGACACAAAAATGATCATAACGTCCCTATTCCAAGCTGGAACAAAACTGCTTCCATATCCCCTATTTTTTCCTTTAAAAAGAACACTGTAATGAAATAAAGGCTTAACATTTTTGCCTTGAGAATGCTTGCCACAACGAACTGGGATGTCATGAGTTCATGGGGCGTTAAGTGCCTTTTTGTGAAATATGGAATAAAATATCCATTTTTGTCTTACGTGAACATCTCACTGTCTTCAATAGTGGCGAGCCAAAAGCTGTAGGAGTTGGCATAGTAGTTGCAGGTTCCACGACCATGACACTCAATGAACGGAGCACTGCGGAACTCCTCCAGACAGGAACCAGGAGAGGCCAGAGCCTGACCCGAACCCTCAGCACCTGCACTGGTGTGCTACACAAACACACAAATAAAACAGCTAATTTACAACAAATGAAACAAGTTATTCTCAGATGATGTCTTAGGAGCTGCTTTTACATTGTGAATGAAAAAAAGTGTCAAATTAACAAAACAAGGTCTGCACCGTTCGCTTCCCATTTTTTACTTAATCAACACAAATTGGGCTTGGTTAACACAAAGTATGAGATTTTTTACAAGAACAAAGTATTTTCACTTAGATCTGATTCTGTTCGTCTTACCATGACAAAGGAGTATCCAATCCACAGAGAGTCCCAGCCTTGAGGGCATGATGGGATCATGATAGTCTGACTATGAACTGCGATCACCATGGCTGGAGCTTCACACACAGAACATCTGCGGACAAACGCATATAGAAAAGGAGGGAAGTATGTGAATGTCAAATAGGCAGCATACAATAAAAATATGGGAACATAAATGGTACAGACTTTCCCTGCCTCAGATAAATAATTATATTCTTTGCTCCATTGACTCAGGTTCCAGTGTCATTTATGTTCAGCTTGATCTCTGGCTAGGAGTCCGAATCAGAAATACTTTATTAATCCCAAGGGTGAAATTAATTCAACTGGCACAACTATCCACCACAAACTATCCCACTTTTAGAATGGTTCACCTCCCCATTAAACATGGGAGACGGCGGGTCATCACACTCTTCCATCAAAAGTGGCATCCCTCAAGGCTCAATTTGGGGGCCTCTTTCATTATCATTGTACATGCCCCCCTTTTCTCTTCCTTTTGCATCACTGCTATACAGATGACTTACAATTTTATCTACCAGTTTAATCCGGCATTACCAAAAACTGGATGAGGAGAGACTTCATTTATTTATTTATGACAAAAAAGACCTATGGTGTTTTCCCTTTTTAGTGCAACCAGCAATTTCAGTGATGCACTTGGGCCCTTGAAAATTTGCACCAGCTAAATAATTATGTTTCCAGGGAAGCATGAGAGTTCCAGGTAAACCATGACTGCCATGCCATCTGCAAACAATGTTTTAGGCTTCAATAAGATGTTAACCCATAATTATATTTTTCTTCTTTGCCTTTACCTCTCTAAATGTTTAATTCTAATATTAATTGATGTTTTTTACCCGTTGCTGGCTGCATTCATTTCTTCTTTATTCCTCTTTTATTACTGATCCTATTACTTTGAGTATAGTTGTTATAATTGCAAGTATTTTTGTATAGCATTATGTATAAATACTTTTTTTATTACTCCTTAAATTATGTCTACCTGTACTGAAGCACACATCACTTATGATCAATTTCTGTTGGTTAAAATTTGCTCATCTGGAAGCCCAAAAAATATAGTAACTTGACTAAAACAGAAGAGTGTGGATGCAAAAGTTGACGTACCTGCTGATGAAGGGTTTGATGCTTTCCCCGGTTATGGGAGCCATACTCATGGGCATGGGCTGAGGGGAGGTAAGCCAGTAGGAGTAGTCATTACGGGAGGCAAAGTTGCACACGTTGTTGATGTTACAGAAGAGGAATGGCATTGGGCTGAACTTCCTTAGACAGCTGCCTGCCGTACCTGAAACACACATTGAGAGGACATTTAATAAATAAAAATAACTGAATCCTTTTTATTATTCAATATTTTATCTCATATAGCGTTTCTTACCTAAGTCCTGTCCATGAGCACGCTCATTGCCTTGTATGTAGAGCAAGGAGTAGCCATCATATAAGAGCGAGGTTCCCTCAGGACAATATGGAACCTCCACTGATTGACTGTGACGGGTTACCAGGAAACCGTGTTCCATGGAGGAGGGGCCAGGGGGACCCACATGACCTGGAACACCATCAGGTCCTGGGGGGCCAGGGTGTCCTCTGGGTCCTGAAGACATGGGGCAATTAATAAGATATGCTACTGACATTAAAACAGCTCATACCAACATCTTTAATCTGAGTGAAAGACTCACCCTGTGGTCCTGGCAAACCAGACTCTCCTTTGGCTCCAGGATGACCGTTATACCCAGGAAGTCCATCATCACCTTTTGGGCCTGGGACTCCTGTCAAACCTGGAAGAAAATAATAACAATAACAAGAAAACATTAAATAACCACAAGGAATAAAACGATTAAAAAATAATTGAAGCAAAATGTCACCTTGCTGTCCTTTCTGCCCGGGGAACCCAGAAGGTCCTTGGGGTCCTGGTAAGCCTTGAATTCCTGGGAACCCAATATCCCCTTTGATGGAGATGTATGGTCCAGGGGGTCCAGGGGGGCCGTCATTGCCTGAAGTATACAGTTTCATTAGATATATTTTTCTCTTTTTCTTATAGCAGTGTATGGGTGTAAATTATAAGATTCCCACAGACGCAGCACACATCCATTTATATTCCATAAATATTCTGATGAGTTACATAGAAATTAATTTAAATATTAACACAATATGAATAGTTACCCTTTACTCCTGGGAATCCTCTGTCTCCATAATCCCCTTTGAATCCAATGTCACCAGCAGTACCTTTTGTACCTAGAAATTGCAATCAAAATAGTATATTTAAATGTTCAATTAGCTGTGTAAAAACACACATTTCCTCTAACATGTACATGTACCACACACGTGACTATTTCACCCAGACTTTTTTTTCATCTAGACCTTTTCCCACCAGCCCCCCGAGTAAAATTTCTGCATGATGTCGGGGGCAGCTGATGTATGAACGTAGCAGGAAATATTCAGGAAAATTCACTGCAAGTGAGTGGGAGGGGATGATGTTATATGAATCGAACAGTGAGCCACCAGTTCAATCAGCACACACTTAGTAAAGCTGCTTCATACTCTCTACTGCTCACCAGTATGTTCATCATCGCTCTTTAATGATGCAGAGGACACTGTATGTCAAAAAACATGTGCCACTGATATTACGTAACCTGAGTGTCTACTGACCCACAAAATGTGAAATAAACCCATCCAGTCCTTTGTTGGTGGTCTGCATAAGTCTTACAACACAGAGAAAAATGCTCTGTTTCAAATTTGCTCAACTTGTGATGTCACAGTGGGATTCTGGTAAAAAGAATCCCCTACCTGACTGGTGCCATCGGGCTTCATTGATACATAAAGCTGAGTATCATCTGCATAACAATGACACTGTATGGAGTGTTTCCTCATAATATTTCCCAAAGGAAGCATATATAATGTAAAAAGAATTGGTCCAAGCACTGAACCTTGTGGCACTCCATGGCTAACTTTGGTGTGCACAGAGGACTTATCATTAACATGTACAAACTGAGATCGGTCTGATAAATAGGATTCAAACCAACTTAAAACTTTGTAATTTAGCAATAAGTAAGGTCTTTTACCTGCTTTTTGTAAAGTGTCTCGAGATAACACTTGTTACGAGTTGACGCTATACAAATAAAAATAGTTTGATTGATTGATTGACCCTTCCCTAATATCTCCACCACTGGACTCAATCCCTCAGCCTAGAAGAAAATTTTGCACAGGTCCACGATTTTTATTCTTGCTAGCGAAGTAGTGATGTCTACCAGGGAAAACTCAGGGGCAGGGCTGATGGGAACGGAGCGTTCTGAGAGAGCTGGTTTATACAGGGTCACAAACCTCCTCTGGTGCTTGATTCATGTTATATTTTGACCAAAGCACGGCACAGATGTTTCATTTAGACCACAGGGGACTGTTTGAAAGGTGTAGAAGAGGTATAATATGTCTTCTTTAAGACTTAGCCGTCATGCTGTGAGGGAAAATAACAGTGTGCATGAAAACATCTTACTGGTAAGTGCACCAAACATTTTGTACTTACCTGGGAAGCCATGGACACCCTGCAATCCCTTGTCACCCTTTTGTCCATCGATACCTGGTAGCCCAGATTGTCCCTGTATCAAACAAAAACACAGATACAGAAACATTTACAGTTACCCAGGTAGCTCATATAAACAACTCTACATCATAAGGTAAAACATCTGAGTCATGGTGAGCATCTTGTTGACATACAGAAAGTCCAGGAGCTCCCGGTTCACCCTTATGTCCCGTCTCTCCCTGGAAGCCAAGGTTACCCGGGTTTCCTTTCTCTCCTTTTAGGCCATCTCTGCCTGGCACACCAGAGGGCCCTGGTGCTCCTGTGGAACCTGTTTAAGGATTTAGACAAGAAGAACTTTTCATATGCCTTTTTAAAAACATTTTTATTAAGTGATTCTTCACTGTTAAAAACAAGGGGACAGGTATTCAAACACATTATTTATATCTGATATGTCAGGTGTATGTTTACCTGCTTCTCCTGGTTGTCCTGTTTCTCCCCTGTCTCCCTTTGGACCCTCTAGAGAGTTACCTGGGAAACCCCTCTCTCCTGTCTCACCCTGGGGTCCCAGTGAGCCTGCAAGTCCCTTGTCGCCTTTGATACCTGGGATGCCCGGATGACCTGGAGTTCCAGGGAAGCCAGGAATGCCTTTGTCACCTGCAGTGGCAAAGAAAAGGTCCACATGATGAAAGTCTTCTTGCCTCCAGTGATTAAAAGATTACATGATGATGGAGGGGCTCTAACCTTTGCTACCAAGAACACCAGGGGGCCCAGGGAAACCATGACCAGGTATACCTGCAGGAAATAAAAGATCAAAAGTACATTAGAGGCAGTTTAAAAAAAAATGTTTTGGGACTGGTATGGATAGTTCTTTAGTTTTAAAGGTTAATAACACCCTGTGTCTATAATTACTGTTTTTTTAAACTATATTTAAAGAGTTCATTTGTATCATTTGTACATAATTGTATTATTCATGTTCAAAAAACATCGTATCAGAACATAATAAGTACGAGTAATATAATTATGTTTCGTTGTGGTTGAGAGGGGCCAGATGAAGGTTAATGTAGTTGTTGTTGTAAAAGTCTTTGAAGCTATCATTTAGCAGAAGTGAATGGAATACAAATCTCTGTCAAACGTGTGTTGATATAATAAGGATTTTGAAAATAAATTTCAAATAAAGGTGTTCACAAGTTTATCATACTGTAAGCTGGAGATGAGATTTATTTTGTGAAGTTTTATTTTATAGATCTTTATTTTTTCTCAGGTTGAGATAATATACATTATTTGATTTAATGCTCATTTCATTTATATTTACAATTTGTACTTTACAAGAGTATCTGTTTGATACGATGCACTATGCCTTTAAGGTTACCCATGGTTACGGTTGGAGGAGTGATATTGCTTTAAGACAAGTAAGGTGTCTCTGTTGTTGTTGGTCAGTCTTGATATGTCATGCTCTGTTACGGACGGACATTAAACGTATGAGACGCACAGCAGAAGTTGTCCCTGTGCTTTTACTTACCCACACCTGAATATATATCTTTAATTAAGTATGTTTAGTGTTATAGTTAACGGCAAGACAACCGAGGATAATCAACGTCATCCAAGAAGCGCCGTTACAATACAAAAGAAAACCTGATTACTTAATTTCTCCTAATTGTAGAATTCACACAACATGTTGTCATTCTCCATCTTTTTAAATCAATAACTTCATGAGGAAAGACTCCCTGTTTTTGATGAAAAAATACTGTATCAACATTTTATGGTGGTTTCCCCTGACACTTACCTGGGTCTCCTCTCTCCCCTGAGGATCCAGGTATACCGTCAACTCCAGCTTCTCCCTTCTCTCCGGTAGGACCAGGAGGTCCCTGCAGACCTCCTTCACCTGTAGGTTAGATATTACACACTGTTATTTTAATGTTACACATTATGGCAGAGGTCTAGCTGTTACGTTACTCAGTGTTTTCTGGTTAGATGTTCAGCCAGTTGCTGTGCCTGGTTTGATAAAGGGACCATTCCCTGAGCTCATACTGAGCTTTGAGGTGAAACATGACAGCTGATCATAAAAGTTTATTCTAATTTAATAAAGAAACACTTCAAAATAATAATTTGAGATGTGACAAAAAGATCGAGCAGCTTCAGAATGATACTTTAATTAATTTACTCTGAGGCTAGTTTAAGAGTAAAGCAGTCTTTTAAGCTTTGAGAAGTGTCCTCAGGGCTCTCTGGTTAATTTAGTTTCCAGCTGCTTTTTTTGACAATAAATTCTTCTTTGTGCAGTGGTTTGTCATACCTCTAGAAATAAAATAACATTTTAATTGTTATTACTATGTGGCTGACTGAATAATCCTATAACTTACCAGGTTGACCGTCACGTCCAGGTTCTCCTGCAGACCCTGGTAGCCCAGGTGTACCCTTCTCCCCTGGTCTACCTGACTGACCTGTACCATACATAAACACAAACATAAAATACAATAACAGCTCATATTATACCAATTTACATTCTTAAGATTTTAGCTTTTTTTATACACATTAGGAAGAATGCAACAACATAGACTGCAATCTGACCTGGAAACCCGCTGCTTCCCTTCTCTCCTTTGGATCCTTGCAGTCCGGGCTTTCCAGACATTCCCTCCTGACCCCTCAGACCCTTCTCTCCAGGTGATCCTGGATCTCCAGACAGGCCTGGTTGACCCTGTTAGAGAACAGGAACAGGAAGAAATGTGAAGTAAAAACTAATAGGTACTGAGTATTATTAAGACTAAACAGATTATGTGGAAAATACAAAGATGCGATAAAAACAAACATTTCCATGACTACCTCCATTTACATTATAGATTATATCCGAGAAATTCTTAGTCCATCCTTATCGTCCTAAGAAATGTTTTGGTATAGAGTTAAAAACCCCTACGTTAAAAATCATTGGCATTTGTAACAATGCATATTACTCAATCTAAAGTCCTATAACTGAATTTTGCACCAGGATTCCATAGGAGTATGTTATCCTGTGTGCTGATGATTTAACAGAGTTTAATGGCTTTTCAAGCATTGCAAGTACTCTCGCAGCTATTTATAGCGCCCATAAGTTGAGCAGTCAATGTTAAAGTCTTTCTATGTGATTTTTCACACTTAAATGTAGAAATCAAGTATATCCTCTGAAAATAACTCTGTGAGTCATGACTGTCTACAATGGGTGTAACACCCGAGTCCCACTGTCTGTGATGTTTTCAGAGTTTTCAGAGTCCTATCTTCACTTTGTTTACATCGCCAGGACGGCCGGTTGACTCCTCCCCTCGTGTATAAAAGTTGTTTAATTGAGGGACTAGAGAAAAGAAGAATAACATACTGTACTCACTGCTTAACTGTGTTTCTAGATCACGCTCATTTCAGGTAAATTTACATGCAGTGTGAAGATACCAGCATAATAAAGATCGCTAGCATTAGCATGCTAACACAACAATGCAGCGCAAGTTGTTTTGGTTTCATGCTGGTGTTTAAGGGCGACATCTGCTGGATCAAAAAATCACATATAAAGACTTTAAAGAGCCTTGTTGATGTTTCTGTCCGTCTATAATCACAGATCTTTTGGTACAACTTATTACATAACAGAGGTTTGTAAATCAGTGGATTACCTTTTCTCCTGGAAATCCTGGGAGCCCAATACCTGGCTCACCAGCTGCTCCCGTGTCTCCCTTTTGTCCATCTGTGCCTCTGAATCCAGGATGTCCAGGTTTTCCACTGTCTCCTTTAGTACCCTTTGGACCATAAGGACCTACAGAAGCACATAATAAAATACAGATATTAGTATATAAGTATACACGTCTGTTAACACTGTTTCCTGAAATTTAATGGAAAATTTAGGCATATCCTTGCTTGAAATATCCTCAATACAGCTTTTACAGATGTTTTTGATACTAAGATATAAGACATGTTTGTGGACTTCACTAAATGTGAATTTCTTACCCGGTATTCCCATCTCTCCTACACCACCTTTCTGTCCAGTTGGTCCCATACTACCGGTCTCTCCAGGAAAACCAGAGTCTCCTTTCTCACCTGTGACACATCAGAGATTGAAAAAATTATTCAAATTTGTATTTCCCACCCACTTTTATTGGTGTTACCTTAAATAATGGTACGATGAATGAAGTGGAGAAGGAAACAACATTTAACACATCAATAAAACATATGAAGTCTACATACTTCATGACTCTTTTACATATTTCATAGTTGCTCACCTGGTTGTCCAGGTGATCCAGGTTCTCCATCTTTGCCTGGCATTCCAGGGTCTCCACCAAGTCCGGGGTGGCCCTTCAGCCCTGTGAGTCCAGGATCACCTGACACCAAAATTTAGCAAAACATCACCTTAGGAGCTTTCTAAATGTATCGGTAAATATACAGAATTTAAATACTCTCAACAGCACCAAAGTCCAGTATATTGTTTTGTACCTCTGTTTCCAAGGTCTCCCTTTTCCCCTTTCATGTGTTCCATCTGAACCTTTGACATTTTCCCAGGAGGACCCGGAATACCTTGCTCTCCCCTTTCTCCCTTAGGTCCAGCCTCTCCATCGACCCCTCTTGGACCACTAATACCAGGGTCACCTGGGGGAAAGAGAAATTATTGACAATCTAAAAACCCTGAAAATGGTTCACAAGAGGTTAAAGAAGCTTTAACTCTATGAAAAGTTGTTTTATGGTTTCTCACCTCTTATACCAGGGGATCCAGGTGTACCAGCTGATCCTGGGAATCCTTGTACACCTGGAGTGCCGATGACTCCCATTTCACCTTTGGGACCTGCCAAACAAACAGATAGAATAATGATATTGCTTCAAAAGAATATAGTAAATAATTAGGTTACAACGCACTAGGAGCCAATCATCTTGCAAAAAACTGTGTGTGTGGAATCACTGAGGGAATTGACTTGTTGACACCTCAAAAGAGTCAACCCTGCTTTCCCCCTTTGTGACATTACTGGTAAGGAAAGAACACTAAACAACAAAATGGCTAAATTGCAATAGTAGAAACTCGCTGATGCAAAATTGTGAAGATGAAAAAACATCAACACAAGAAGAATACAAAAAAACCCACACACCAACATGAAGAAAGAAACTCCAAATCCTAGACAATTTTCTATCTGATTCCATCACCTTGGTTTCCAATCAGTCCGTCTCTGCCTGGAAAGCCTGATGACCCTGGTAGTCCTTTAGATCCTGGCCCTCCAGGGAACCCTTGGGCCCCCTTCTCTCCCTGAGGCCCTGGCATGTCCAGACCAGGAGGACCTGGGTACCCCTTTTCTCCTTTCACACCCTCCTGACCTGTTCCAACATTCACATTCATATAATGAAGATTTCCACAACATTAGAGATTCAGGTGAGGAACATAATATCACTTCTGTAACTGCAATGTTTTTATACATTAGGAAAAGGGGGTCTATGTTTGGATGTTGAGTTTGCAGTTACCAAATGGTCCAGGCTCTCCAGATGGTCCTTGTGGTCCGGGAGCTCCAGGGGAGCCCTTTCCTGGAGCACCTGGTGAACCAACCAGTCCAGGTAGCCCCGGTGGTCCCGAGTCACCTAATTTAAAAGATGGAAGAAAAACAATGATGTACAAGGTAGAGAAGATCCGCCTAGGAAGGACTACTTTGAACCTCATTTCAAATTGGAGGTGTTGAAATGTTGTGCTGTACCTTTGATTCCCTGAGCACCTGGAGGTCCTGTCTGGCCTTCTTGCCCAGGAACACCAGGTAATCCAATGGTTCCCTTCTCACCCGGGTAGCCAGTAATTCCTGGTTGGCCTTGAAGTCCTTTTGGGCCTGGAAGACCTCGTCCTGGTTCACCCTGCAAAAAAAATACAAATAAGTGTGAATTTCCATCTAAACTCACAACAATTAGATATCCCAGTGTATCCTCTAAATTGAAAAGTAAATAATTGTTCAATGCTTAAAGCCCCATGTTGAGTCTTACTCACAGTGTGTGCAGGCATTTGTCTAAATATCCCCCATGTATATAAAAAGTAACTGAATACAAAAATACAAACTTTTTGTCCAGGGGAACCAGGTTGTCCAGTGAAGCCATCCTGTCCTGGTCTTCCTGCCTCTCCTGGTAATCCTCGAGCTCCTGGGGTTCCACTGATTCCTAGAAACATTGTTAAAAGTTTTGATCTGAATTCAGATCTTTTTTATTCATTTTCCTTTAGAAATATCCTTTTACCCATTTAATGTCTGTAAAGCTTCCATGTTGATGCCATGTGGGGTCAAAATGGAGAATCTTACCTTTGGCACCAGATGGGCCAGGAAATCCAATACCAGGGGCTCCATTGTCACCTTTTTGACCTGGGAAACCTGGCAGCCCTGGATCTCCAGTCTGGCCACTTTCACCTGAAGCCAATAACATGACGAAAAGGAAATGAGGGCAAGTAATCTTCACGTTAATATCATTTAATTGATGAAAAGGCAAGATTATGTTCACAGAGCAATCCTCAAAATTTCACGTTAAAATTAATTTGTTAATAATAATAATAATAATAATAATAATATATTGATTTTTTTATAGCGCTTTTCTAGGAACCCAAAGACGCTTTGACAAAAAATAAAACCATCGAGGTTGCCTGAAGAAAATCCAGACGCTTATATGTCACTCACCTTGAATTCCAGCTCTGCCAGTTTCTCCTTCAGGTCCTGGTTCTCCACGAGGTCCAGGGGTGCTACCCCCTTGGCCTGGCTCCCCTTTTATACCTGATGAATGCAAGATGTATTTTATCAATGAAGTGTTTATCTGCTGAGTTTAGATTAGGCAATCAAGATTATGTATATTTTGACTTCTTTTTTTTACTTGTACTGCGTTATGAGTGCGAATGTGTTTGATATCTGTGGATCTTCCTGCATAGATATCAGGCCTACCGGGTACTCCTGGAGCTCCAGGGAGGCCTGGTCTGCCGTGACTGCCCTTCTCCCCGGACTCTCCTGGTCGACCAAAGCCTGGCAGTCCAGGTGGACCCCTCTCTCCTGGATGCCCAGCTTGACCGGGGTCCCCAGGAAATCCATGCTCACCCTTGACACCCTCTTTGGCCTGAAAGCAGAATTAAAGAGAGGGATGTTCCACCAAGTAACAATATATTCAGAACATTTGAGCTCTTACAGGGGCAGAACAACAAGCTGTGTAAAAATGCTGATATCTATGTCAAAGCAAACCATTAACACTTCAATAATTTCACAATGAGTGATATCCTGATCATTTGCACACATCTTACAAAACACACACACACTTACAGGTTCTCCTTTAAGGCCAGGAAAACCCGGGGGGCCATCCCTCCCTGGCTGTCCATCCAGTCCTGACCTTCCTGGTGAGCCAGAAAGACCAGGCAGACCTTTGTCCCCCTTCAGACCGGGAGCTACAAAAATGTCCCCCGGTGCACCGACAGCACCTGGAGCTCCCATCAACCCAGGAGTGCCATGAGAACCCTGCACACAGACAAAAGATCACTGAAGACTGAAATAACATAATAAATAAACGAAATAAATATTGTGTAAATATTCTGCTAGGATATGGGCCCGAAGCATCTTGGATATTATTCTACTTACAGGTCTTCCAGGTGTTCCAGGTGAACCGGATTGACCCTTCTCTCCCTTGCCGCCGAAATGCCCAGGAGGCCCTGGAAGGTAGAAAAAAAACAGTATTTAATACTCACAAGAGGGGCAGCACAGCAGAGACGTGCGGTCAGGGGAGGCAGGTGAGGCAAAATGGAAAAGGAAGATTTTATATCTGAGCTTAAAGGTTTCTCAAAACTGGACTTTCAATTACAACGTGAAGTGATAAATAATGGAAGACTTTTTAAATTAAAAGAAGATAATGAGGACTTTTACAACAAAATCCAGAAGGATAGGCGAATGGACTTTGTTTACAAGTAAAGGTAAGACCATGAATACACCGCAGTATATGCTTACTTTTATTTTTATTGAATGAGTATGAATTGTGGAATTGCAATAGAAAAACATTTCTGAGGCGCTATAAATGTAACGTTCTTCCTTGGCCAAATATGCACCTTCCCTCTATGTGTGTGTAAATAATGCTGATATGAGACATGAAACACAACCAGTCGTCAATGTGCAAGCTGCCAATTGAATGGTGAGTTTAAGCTACTCTATAAATGGGTTGATATTTGTAAATCTGACTCTGAAAAAGTCAGTGCCTCACCAGCCACGAACCTCACCACACGTCACTGCAGCACAGGAACACAAGAAAAAATGGTGGAACAAGATACCATCTATTGAAGAGGTTACATATATCTTTTAGAGTGTGAGCTTCACATTATAGCAGAGTCTCAATCAAAAGGCAAACTATGAATTATATCCCCACGTTTTTTAAACTATGACATTGTAAATGAAGTGTCATCATTCATTCAAAGTCCATCCAATTCATCAATTGTTCACTTACCTTGATCTCCTTTAGGACCCTGGGGGCCAGGTAGTCCAGGTGGGCCGTTGCTTTCACATTGAACACAGGTATCTCCTCTGTCACCTGGAAGGAAAAGCATACATTTTTTTTATATGTTGTTGATATTATGAAGTAACTGAATAGATTAATTCAGTGATGACCTCGATTAGTCAGCAAAAAATTCAAGAGTTTCTTACCTTTCTGTCCCAGTTCCCCCTGTAGCCCTGGAGGTCCAGGGGGGCCAGGAGCTCCTTTCGGGATGTCACATGTATCGTCAGCTGTGTGTGAACAAATGGTTAATGGCCTTGAGCTTTTAATGAAAGTATACGTTGTATACATATCTTTACTATTTAACAAGAAGACGTACTCAGTTGTCCCGGGGGTCCAGCAGGTCCAGGGGCCCCAGGTTGACCTGGAGGTCCGGCAAGAGACTCTCCCTCTACGCCCCTGTCTCCCTTCTCTCCTGTACTTCCCTTCTGACCCGTCTCTCCTCGAGGCCCCTCGATGTGGCGGCCTGATGGGCAAAAATAAGACGGCCAGTCAGTGTGTTATTCCTTTGTTTTTAATTGCCGCCTGTGACGTGGTGAAATCTGTATTTTCTCACCTGGTGGACCGGCTTCTCCCTGAGGACCAGGAAAACCTGTGGATTAACAAGAAACAAAAAAAAAGAATAAGAAAGGAAACATGGATTAAAGATTGAACTAACTCAGGGCAGCTGTTCACACAGATGTTTGAACTTTTGTTTGCAAGTTTCAGCTTCATTTTTACCTTTTTCTCCTTGTAACCCCGGGAGACCACGAGAACCAGCAGGGCCGGGTGCACCACCCCCCTAAAATCATAATCATCGTTCATATAATTTATATGGTTCAATACACTGATCTACTTATACTCAGATAAAACACCTCCTGAACCCTTTAACTGTTATGTTTCTCATTACAATTACAGCAGCACCGGGGACAAATGGTTTATACACGAGGGGAGGAGTCAGCCGGCTGTCCCGGCGATGTAAACAAAGTGAAGATAGGACTCTGAAAACATCACAGACAGTGGGACTCGGGTGTTACACCCATTGTAGACAGTCATGATTTGACTGAGTTATTTTTAGAGGAGATACTTGATTTATATTATATTTAAGTGTGAGAAATCACATATAAAGACTTTAACTAAAGAGGGATAATTTATTGGAGTTTACTTAGACTATTAACTCAAACAAAATTCTGTAGGAAAATCAGCAGACTTCCCTTTAAACATGCTGCATTTTAACTGAATGAAAATGTGCTGGTAGGGTTTAGCTGATTAAAAACAGTGAGCGGATGAGAAATAAAAATGGAATGGAAGTTTGAGACAGTGGAGAGGGGTCACTTACATAACCTGGTGGTCCTCTTTCTCCTTTTTCACCCTGAAACAAAGAAGATAATTTCTTATGCTTAACCTCAGAGACAATGCTATTTAGGATAAGTGTTTAAAATGTATTCAGACTAAAGTAAAAAAAGGTGCAATATTTACCGGGGAACCAGAATAGCCAGGAGACCCAGAAAAGCCCTTTTCTCCCTGTTTGAATGAATTTTACAAACTCTAGTTATACACATATGATCACATTAGAGAAACAGTCGATCCAAAGGGAACAGAGGGCGTCATCATTACCTTTAGCCCATCTTCTCCATCCTTTCCAGGTTTACCCTACAATAACACAAGTCAGAATAACTTGATTGATTTATTCACACTTGGAATGATTGTAAAAAGACGAAGAACTGACTTTATAAAATAGAATAGAATAACTTTATTGATCCCAAACTGGGAAATTGTGGCCTTACAGCAGCAGGTTATCAGGGCAAATAAAACAATATATGAATAGATACAAAGTAAATAAGCACTTAAAATATAAAAAATAAGAATAAGAAGAGATTTATACATCAAGGATTTAACTTAACATTCTTACTGGTTAAAAAAATGAAAAATGAAATACAGCATTTATTCAGGCTTGTCAACTGAATGTAAAAATACTTGCTGGAAGTAAGAGAAAGAGTGTAAGAGTCACTTTAGCGGAGCTTCTTAGTTTATCAAACCATTTGGACCATCCCATATAGAGACTTACCGGTGGTCCAAGTGGCCCGATTTCACCTTTAATCCCAGTCTGACCTGGCTTACATTGACCCTGAAAATGATATTGAAGGTTTATTGAAACAAGAAGAACTTGACAATAAACATTTGCACAACAAACCTCCACATTGAGGATATAAAACTTACCTTTTCTCCTTTATCTCCTTGAGGTCCTTTTTCTCCCTTTAAAAAATAAAATAAAATAAAAATAACATTTAGAGGAAGATCATGAAGATATTTTCTTAAACATAAATCCAGGTTTTTGATGATACATGACATGATGGATATGTTACTGTATAAGGACTGGGTGAATACCTGTAGTCCAGGCATGTACTCTGTGGGGCCTCCTCCGAATTCCTGTGGGCGTCCAGGTGGGCCAGGTGGTCCTCGAAACCCTCTGTCGCCCTGCAGCGAGAGGGCAGAATTCACAGCGATTAAAATAAAAAAGTAAAACCATTAGTAAGTAAATCATTGAGTGACAACCAAGTATGTCCAATTTTCTTGATTTTGAACTCTTTATTTGAAATGCAAGTATTTCTAACCCAAAAAACACAAGGTCCAACAAATATAACCTTATTTTGGTTTTCGTTCTGTAAAGTACTCCCACTGTTGTGTTGTGCAGATATAAACAAAGACTCTCACCTTGTCTCCCTTTTCACTCACAAAGGCTAACTTGTCACCCTGCAGGAATGTCAGAAAGAAACTCAGTGTCATCGTAGAAGGACAAACAAGTTAAAAGATGTCTGACATTTGTAAAGTCAGAGTTAAACAACTGTAGATCTTGTAAGTGTTTTTAGTCAAACCTTCTCTCCAGGAGGGCCGGGGGGGCCAGCATCACCCTGTAAAACAGAGATATTAAAACAGTCAAAACAAACCGAAAACAGGAAGTGATTTATTCTCGTTCCAGAACAAATTCGAGTATTATTTTATGATCATGTGTTTATCAATATTCCTGGGTTGATTAAGTTCATCAGTGGGTCTAAGAAGACAAACACTCCAGCACTATAGACTAAAACTCACTTTGGGTCCTTGATAGCCACGAGTTCCCGGTGGTCCAGTTGGTCCAGGAAGTCCATTTGATCCCTGAGAGAGTAGGATTTTTTTTATTTTTTTTTAAGTCTGTGCTTTTATTAAACATAAATAAAAAAAACCTGTTTTCATGTTCACAACCCAACACAAACACATAAAAAAAACAACATACAGGTAATCCAGGTGTGCCAGGGAAGCCTCTGTCTCCTTTGAGAGGAACAATCCCGATCACTCCACCAGGGTCACCCTGTGGGAGTAAATTTAAAAAAATGGTTTGGTAATTGGTACAACACGTGTCATCATTCTGTTAGTCACGGTATAATCATGATATATATATAAAAGTGGATGTAGCCTTTAAGTCTAAAAGGGAAGCCAATGCTCTAGTGCCTTAAATCTGCTTTCTTCCTCATGACCAGCAGAGGGCGTACCACTCTTTACATTAAGAAGACAGTTTTAACATATACACTTAAAGACAAACGAGAATTATTTGACGATATCTGGGACCTATATATTAATTTTCTTCGGGATAAAGATATTTTTTTACACATTTGAGCTAGGCTGGTAAAGAGTTGGTAATGTCTGTAATTGTGATCGTTTTTGCAGAAACTGTTCTAGAGCAGAATATTTGTGATTAACAAATCATCTATGGCAATAAACTCCCTTTGGTTATTTCTATTTAATATGGACAGTAATAATTTTGCAACATTTTGTAATTAAAGTTTTTATTTTTTTTATTTTGTATTAGTATATTTTACCTCTTCCCCCTTATTTTATAAATGTGTATGTATGTGCATCTGTATATCTTTTTTTTTTTCCTTAGAATTTATTTAATTGTAATTGTGTGTCTTGGAAAAATGTTTAAAACTCAACAAAAATATTGTTAAAAAAAAAAAGAAGAAGACAGTTTTAAACCAGATGATAAAGTGAGCCCCCTCTGTGCTTGTATGTAACATCAGAAAACACTTTTCATTAGAGTCTTTGGTCTTAATGGCTAATTTCAAGTCTAGTTCAAAGCAGCATAAAGTCCTTTTTGTAAATACAGGTCCAGTTAAGTAAAATAGACGAGAATGAAGGGCTAGCTTGAAACTGAAAAGTCACGACCACAACAACCTCAAAACTGTCTTGTTTTGTGTTCAGTAGTATTAAAAAAGACTTAAGGAGCATCTGTTTATCTTCAGGTAGATGAACACTTTATAATAACCATCATCTATAAAGGGTAAATAAGGGTAAATAGATACTGGTAATGTTTGACATCAGTTAAGATGTTAGATAAGGCTTAATAAATGTCTACAGACCTTCAGTCCAGGAACTCCAGGGATGCCCTAAAAAGAGAAGACAACATATTTAACATATTTAATCTTTAACAGCAGGTTTATAAGATGCTCAAATCTGACCATACAGATTCAAATAAAAGGAAAGGCCTATCAGTTTAAAATTCAAATCATGATGGTTTTCTTTATTTGTCTTAAACAGGACAGTGGTGTCATGTTCTTCATGGGTTCTTACAGGAGGTCCTTGAATCCCAGAATAACCTGGAATACCATCTCTTCCTCTGTCTCCCTGAAACAAACACACGACACAGTTAGAAAAACCCAAACAGAAAAAATAACAAGGAGCAGGCCCAAATCCAAAGACAACAAAGTTCAAGCTTACTTTAGTCCCATTGCATCCTGGGATTCCTGGTAGACCTGGTGGGCCATCGTTTCCATTGATACCCTGAGAGTGGAACAACAAAATGTTATTTGACACCTTGAAAGTCCTCCCAGAACCCGACCCACAACAATGATCCAAACTTCAAACGCATAAATCTTTATCTCTTATCTACAAGGTTAAACCAGGGTAATTGATATGCAGTGTTTCCCCAAGGTTTACAGCTTTTTTAATGCCCCTCGGGGAAACACTGGATATGTGGTGAACCTATAAGCAACATGAGGATTCAAGGAACTTACTGGCAGTCCTGGGTTTCCTGGAAAACCTGGCAGACCTGGAGGACCCTGCAAGATCAAAACCACATCATAACACTGTCTCATAACACAAACAACACCTTAGTGCAAGGTTTTTGTTTTTTCTATTCAACCAGGAAAAATTTGTTTGTACGAAGGGCAACAGAAGTCTGTTTTATGTCATGTCATTAATATCATGCTGTATCGTAGTGTTAAGGATATCAAGGTGGTTATATCCTTACCCGCACTCCTTTTATCCCCGTGGCCCCAGGTTCACCCAGGTCCCCCTAAAAGAAATACATGACAATAGATAAGAGTCTTCATAAGTCTCTATAAGTTACACCTTTAGAAAGGGCTAAAAACAAAAAGGTAAACTGAACATTATTTAAGGTTTCATTGTTATATCAGTGTGTGTGACAGTTTGCTTACCTTGAAGCCCATCCCACCAGGAGGCCCCTCAGGTCCCTGCATCCCTGGGAATCCCATATTTCCTTGAAGACCAGGAAACCCACGCTCACCCTGTGAACCACAAAGCGTCAGGATGACGAGGAAATACATCTTTAAATGGAGACTCTAAATTGCCCGTAGGTGTGAATGTGAGTGTGTGTGGTTTTCAGTCTCTATATGTCAGCTCTGTGATTGAGTAAGGTCTTTTACCTGCTTTTTGCAAAGTGTCTCAAGATAACACTTGTTATGAATTGATGCTATACAAATAAAGATTGATTGATTGATATATTCCTATCATGTTATTGACCTGATTGGCCACCAGATGGCAGCACTGCTCGGTACAGGGGGAGTCCTGCTCAAGTTCTCTTCATGCTGAGCTGCCAAAGAGTGAGTGACGTGTTAAACTAAGCAATACACTAAATGAAAACATATTGAACATTGTTGGACTGATTTCCTGTCCTTGACCACAAAACACCTGATTCCCATCAGCCGGGACAAACACTGCATCTTGAACCATGGGAATTTTCACTGGGTTACCGCGGCAACTCCTGTAGTTGGACATCAGGAAAATGATATCATTGGGAAAAAAAAGCTCACAGGAGATTTTTTTTTTCAGAAGGCTGTTTGGTGTTTTTCAGCTTCTTTCAATAAAACCAGAGGTGTTTATTTGAGTCCACAGTGGACTTGGCCGGGCTCCACTGAACACAGTCAGTGCATGTGTTGTTGTCGAGTGGGCTCAGTATTTGGCTACTGGTGCTGTATGAGCCATAAAAAGGACAGACTGTTTCACTTAAGAGGAGAGATAACACCCTGCAGTCGTCTGATATCACCGAGCCAATAATACACATGTACACTGAAACAGCAGGACTGGAAGTGAAAAATAAATCCACAGCTAACAGCAGCTTCCAGCTTTCAAAATAAAACAAAGTCGCCTTCCTTTAACCCTTTATTATTGGATCAGATTTCTTGTGTGTTACAGGTTCAATCAGACCAGTGATTATTTACCTTTGTTTTTCATAATAAAGCTCCTGTAAGAAGTTTTTCCCTGGCTTTGAATTAGACTAAATATTTTCAATGATGACCTAGAAAATGAATTGTGACCATCAGCAACAAGATTGTCGTTTTTCTGTTTAGTTATTTTTTTATGCCTGCAGTAAGGTGTCTGACGAGGCAACAAAAGAAGCATAAAAACAGCATTTTATGGGGCGCTGGTGGCGCAGTGGTTAGTGTGCACGCCCCCCATGTGTGGCGGTTTTGGTCCTCCAAGTGGGCAGCCCAGGTTGAAATCCCACCTGTGACTCCATTACCTACTCTCTCGCCCTGATTTCCAACTCTGTCCACTGTCCTGTCTCTACATTAAAGGCCCAAAAAAAGCCCAAAAATAAATCTTTAAAAAAAAAAAAAAAACTGCATGTTATTTTAAAACAAAGATTAGTAGTGATCGATACATTTAAATGTTAAAAGACAGCAGGATGAGATTTTTTTAAATTAGAAATCAATACTTATACATGTATTGCACAAGATCAGCAAAGAGATAATAGAATATATTTTGTCCACAGGGGGCGCCAAAAATGAACAAAAGCTGATTATGATGAGTCCCTCTCAGGAGCTCTGAAGTGTTGTAGATATTTACAGTACAGCACGGTATATATAATCCATAATTCATGTGCAAAAAGTATAGAGAAAAATAAGTGTGAAATATGTTTATTTTATCTTGGAACTCCCTGAATATCCCCTAACTTTAAAGCAACTTTAAAAGGTTAAAATGTCTTTTGCCTTCCATAATCATTCTAGTTTATACGGTGTTCAGTAATAAACCACAGAAAATATACTGAAAATATGTATATTATATGTATTTCAGATTCAATAAGGCTGCATTAACACTGCAGACAAAAGTCACCTGAATCTTATTGTTTTGTCCCTTTGTAACTCAGCTCTGATTTTTTTATGACAGTGTGAACAGCACAAGTCACATGTGGATTACCACAAGAGACAAAAACAAATCAGAATATGGCATTAAGGCTTGCAGTGTGAATGCAGCCTAAGATAAATCAGGCTCTTATAAATACTTCTTAGTAGGATACAATTAGGGCTAGATTTGTTTTTTTAATAGCGAGATTTTGACACCAACAGTGACACAAAATCTGCACGAAAAATAAGTTTAAATATGTAGCTTTGTTTATTTCTAATCATTACATACTTATGTATGTAATGTATGTCATGTTTCAACTCAGCGATTGACCCTCATGCTAAAGTGATGACAAGGGCCAATATCCAGTTCATTGTACATCTGTATTTCTGAGCCCTCTGGCTGATGGGAAAAAGACCTTCAGTCCAGCTGTGTGTGTGTGTGTGTGTGTGTGTGTGTGTGTGTGTGTGTGTGTGTGTGTGTGTGTGTGTGTGTGTGTGTGTGTGTGTGTGTGTGTGTGTGTGTGTGTGTGTGTGTGTGGATATGCTCTAATTCAAACTGATCTTTGTTCCGTCCTGGTCTCTGCACCGTGACTGAGCCGCCTATACTCTGCTCCCCTGCACAGGACGAGCTCCAGCCTTTTTCACTGAGCTGACCCCAATACTCAGGACATAAAAAGTTCTGTTTTTTGTCCTACCATGAACTTACAAAAGCCTCACTTTTTCATTAACACTACACTTTATATGGAGGCCCCGATGTGATATAGACTGCATAGGGATTGGTTGACAGTGAAATGAGTGCAAATGAAAAATCTCACCTTTGCTCCTTAACACCACTGCAGTCACATTTTCCACAAGATGCCCCGCAACCCTGAGGATGAAAAAACACAAAAAATATAATAAGCCAATTGGAAGTTAAAACATCTGACAAGTAAAAACATTTTTTAAATGAGTGTTTTCAAGCTCGACAGTCTAACAGACACCTGCTGAGGGGTCATGTAATGTTATCCATCACGTGTGTACAGCGTGTTACAACCTCTTTGTTTTTTAAAGCATGTAAGGACCCTGCCTCTGCCAGATGAGCTCAGAGACATCCCACTGATGCTGTAAATTATCACAGTGAGCAGTGGACAGACCTCTACAGGGTTTCATGCACACCTGCTGATCCATTCCACAGATGAGGATTTACAGGTCAGAATGGTACAAAAAAAACCAACAGGAGTAAAGATATAAATCAAGACTTCACCACAGCTTTCTGCACTCCATGGCATCTTAAACATGCAACCAGATACTTGTTTTGGGGGGCCACTTGGGGGCAGCAGAACAAGCTTTTATCTCAGATTTTGTTCCTTAACAGAGACGGTCTCCCGCCCCGGGGCTTACAGATGACTTACTCTGGTTCAGGACTGATCCTTTCAAAATAAACAAATAAATCAAATAAAAAATCCTGTGAAACCCGTTTTAAGTTACATGTAAAATAGTTAGCAAAGAAATAGCTGATTCATACAACCATGAGTTAGGAAGCAAACATTATAAACAGTTTAAAGCTGCATTCTGCCATCTTATGTGTCTCAGATTCTACTGTTTCCTGAGATCAATTAGCTTTCAGCTGCTAAATGCTGTCTTAGTTTGCTCACTTGAACACCTGCTGTTTGTTGTACAAAATAAAGTGTAACTTTATTTATTTTTATAATTCAGTCAAGTATGAGATATAGTTGGCCGGTAATGCGTAGCTAATTAGCTAGACTGTAGTCTTTGTTAACAGAATGTTTCTGTCAAAACAGCTTCAACGTGCGATGAGTGCGCATGGATGTCTGCACGTCCGCTCGCCACACTCACTGCTCTAATTATAAGAAAGTGTTAAAACGATCATAAGATACGTCTGTATGAGTTTTTATTTGAGGTTTGCTGTCTGTTGAAGTAAGAAATTTCATATTTGAATGTTAATACAAAGGCCTCTTGCTAACAATTATTAAAATCCTAAAGATTCAAATTAATCAATAGATACAGTCGGCCTCGTGTCATAGTTGGGGGCGGGGCCTCCTGTGGGTGAAAAGAATCACAGAAAAAAAAAGAACTACAAACCGATTACTCGAGTACTCGCTTTAACAACAGGAAGAGTCATCGATTAGAGAACATTTTGCATTTCTGCACCTCTACTACGTATAGCTAAAAACAGAGCTGGGTCATGATTTTTTGCATTTGTTCCTTGACAAGCAACTCTGTTCACATAGCTACATATTTAAAAAAAAAAAAAGTACTGGGTGCTGGACCAAAAATATCTAAAGATAGAAAAAGTACTGAGTCTGCACACCAGAAGATGCTCCAATGAAATAGCATTTCATGGAATCTCACATGTAACACACTTCATCAGACATACATATTTGACCCATTGTTTTAAAAAGACTTAAAGCAGCTTTAAATGAACTTTTAACCAAATAGTAACCTTGAATCTAACTATCTGAGTGAGTTATATGGGATAAAAAAAATGCCTGCTCACACTTTTGGGGTCTTTGGGGCTCTGATTTCAACTAGCACCAAAACAAACATTAGCATCCTGAAACATTGGATGTTTGGGATGCTGATAGATTTTAAATATTTATAAATTTATATTATGAAAAAGAAAGACCTTGGAATAGCAGTAAGCTACACTCTGCCACCACTTAACAAATGGTAGAGTATTGCCCTTTAAAAACTAACTAAAATGTTGCCCTCCTCCTGCTCACTGCTGATGTTTTGACTGATTTTGATATTTAGCTGTACGTATTCAAGGCCCAATGAAGACGACTTTTATTCTTACAGCGAGACACTTATCGGCTTTGTATTACTATGCAGGCAGAAGGACATCAATGCAGCTGTTCTCAGTCCACCCACTCCCCCCTGTTTCCTCTCCTCTGGGGTCTCCAGAGGCCGGAGCCTGGGAACTGGCCTGTACCGCCTTGGCTCTGTCTTCCATTGCTGCTCTCCTCTTTTTTTTCCCTCAATCATCCAGCTGTTTCCAGACTCACGTGCGAGGCGACAAGCCAAAAGCCTGTCAGAGCTTTGGATGGGCCTGTTGAGAGATTGAACAGCTACACTGCCCACAAAACATTTCTCGGCCCTGTTTTGTGTTCTCACACAACAACAAATTTCATTTCTCTACGCCCATTCATCACGATCTGTTCCCGCTGACATCTCGTACATTAGCCATTCTTTATTCTACATTTTCTCTAGCTCATTATCCTGTCCGTCTTCTGACACACTGTTTCCAACATACCTGATGACTGACTCAACATGTGGCTCTAAAACCATGGGAAACCTCTGGGCCTTTGGCTCTGAGTGCCCCCCACCCTCCCATAGTGCACTTGTTCTCATTTATTTGCACTATATAACACGTGTGGTCCGCTAGAGGGTAACACTTTATATTAAGGTGCTTGTAATAAGCATTAATAACAGGTAATAAGTCACTTATTAGACCTTATTAGATTCTTATTAACACAAATAAGACTATATAAGTGTTAATATAGGCATAATTAACACATTTATTATGTCTTATTAGACACTTATAGACTCTTATTAGAAACGTATTAACACTTTATATACCGTCATAAACATTAATAAGATGTTTATTAACATTAATAAGCTTCATTCAATGTCAGTCTTCAGTCTTATCAATGTCAATAAACATCTTATGAACGTTGATAAGTGGTCTATAAAGAAGTTTCTTTGTCTTAATTAATATCTCACAAGCCAATTATAAATTAATTTACAGTTTAATTAACACTCATGAAGTCTCATTAATGTTAATAAACATCATTAATGTTAATGACGGTGTTAATGAAGTGTTAATAAGTTTCTAAAAAGAGCCTATAAGTGTCTAATAAGACATAATAAATGTTTTAATTATGCCTATATTAACACTTATATAGTCTTATTTGGTTATTAAGAACCTAATAGGTCTTTAAAGTGACTTATTACCTGTTATTAATGCTTATTACAAGCACCTTAATATAAAGTGTTACCTGCTAGGGTACGTCATTTCACATCCCTGCTCTCTTGCGTCACCAGATCTCACCTCTCCACTTCTGCTTCAATAATTGTTTTTCTTTCACAGGATTACTTCCTGTTCTGCCACAGGTTAGCTTCAGAAACACCTGACCTTGGATCAGATTAGTGTCATAAGACAAACAGAGGAAAAAGGGATATTGACTCTTAGAATGGAGCACATGTGTGTTTCATTATGGTGAAACCTGCTGGCTCACAGCAGTGGGAGCTCATGATACGGGATTAACATCATTTTTTTTCTTTTACAATTCGCTAAGGCATGCTAATGCAACGAGGGAGCACATTCGCATATTGTCAGCACCACTCGGGTAAATCACAGCTGCTGTTGGCTAAAAACGGCTAAATGATCATTCACCTGTTGCTCTCTGTCTCAGTTTTCTTTCTCTGTCTGCAGTTTTCTCTGTCCAAGCAGACATTCCTGCATGTTGGAGGGCACAACCACTGAACCCAAGCCCTCAAACCGACTCCATGATGAGGAGCACACAGATCTGTTCTCATGTGATGAAAAGCTGCCACCCTGTGATGTCTATACTGCTGCTCTTTCCAAACACAGCGCAGTAATCTGCAGGTCGATCAAAACAGCTTTTCTTTGATTTCTCCACTTTGTTTTGGTTCTCTGCGTCCGTTACGCACTGACATCCACCCAAACACCAGATGGGAGATAAAACACAAAAGACCAAACTGACATCTGCACACAAAGAGTGTCTTGCTAATGAGCCGTGCAGCCAAAGAGTGGATATCAGTCTGAAATGGTTTTCTGGGCTCTGCAGGGAAAAAGGGGAATCTATCTAATCTAAGAGGACTTTATCATCCAGATGATGATGATTCTGATTTTTACAGATTTACCAGAAGCCAGAGAACCATTTCTTATTTACATACCGTTTCAATTGGCGTGTATATGTAATGAGGGTGATAGCTGTGTGATCGCTTTGCCTGTTCACACAGAAGCTTGAGATCGAGCTGTACTTATATTTACCTTTAGCTCTTCTTTTGGTTTATTTAAAAAATCTTTTGCATGCCTGTCCGTCTTTGGAAACAAAACACTCCCACTATTCCCCGGGTTTATTCATTTTTGGCTCCTTAGAATTTCTTTTAGAGAAAAACAGCAAATTTCTGTGTACGATGTGCATTAACAATAAAGACATCTATTCCTCTATTGTCTTCTATTTATTAGATTTTCTGATAACTCTGGAGACTTGTAATGAAATGTAATAGAGATCAAGTATATCCTCTGAAAATAACTCTGTGAGTCATGACTGTCTACAATGGGTGTAACACCCGAGTCCCACTGTCTGTGATGTTTTCAGAGTTTTCTTTATATTTGATCAAAAAATCAAATATAAAGCCTTTAAGTAAAACCAAAATGTTTTATCTTTTCCTTGATTATATATTTAGTCTCACATTGGACACAGTTACCCTGTTGATGCTCACGTGAGCGAATGAGGAGATAAAGACAGATGATGTCACTCTACCCAAACATCCTGATCCTCCACAGAGCAAACACACAGAGCAGAAAGCCTGACAGTCTGCAGAGTGTTGAATGTCCGCTGTGTGAATATACAGAAGCTGGTGAGTCATGGAGCTCTGGAGAATCTGTATCAGATCCAGTAAACCTCTGCAAGCCTCACGTGTCCTTTTTGTGGCTTCTAAAAGTCTGGACGGCAGGTTTTGAAAAATCTCCAAACTGTGAAAAATCAGAATGACTTACAGTGGCAGAGTGTTTATGCTAACAGGGCGCTGTGCACAAACAGTGACTTATCATAATCATGTGTGTATGACAGTGTGTTTGTGATTGTTTACTGCTGCTCGAGCTGGCAGGGAAACTCA